GTCACCCCCAGTCCATGGTCCATTGCATAAGAGTTCACCCTGAGGTAAAAAAGGTAAACACCCTGCAACCCAGTATTTTTCACATTGGCATCCACCTCCCAGATGAGGTCCCCATCTCCCAGAAATGGAAGATTGTAGGAATCATGCTGTACTGACAGGGGTGTAGGTTGTAGCCATGTTGGTCTAAGGACATAAGCAGACAAGGTTCTTTATAGTTTCATAGTTTCTAGGTGAATCTGGTATCTTTTCTTTCTTTCCATCCAGGAAGAGCACACACCAACGGCAGAGGGTCTCAGACTGATGAAGGGTTTTTAAACCCAAAAGCTTGCTAAAAAAAATTCTCTCTCCAACTATAAGTTGGTCTAATAAAAGATATCAGATTCACCCAAAGACCTGTGTCTGCTGTACTAATAGGCATTTATTATGCCTATTAGTGCCTTATAAATTGTTATTTATAAGGCACTAACAATATAAATATTGTTATTTATAAGGCATTATTAAATAATGGATAATCCACAATTTATTATTATGCTCTTGCATATTGTATACACCCTAGCAAACACTAATGAAATAACTGGCCTTGATGATCCAAGAATAGAAGAGCCCCCCAAGAAAGTCTGAGGATTCTCCCTAGAGAAAGTGATGAATGATGATGATCCACAGGCATTCATCAAAATTTGAGAACTGCTGAAGCTGCTGGATGGGACCAGACCAGCTGGACCACAAGTCTGGGGATGCTGTTAAATCAGAGATGCCGAACCATTTTATCAAGCACTAACCAAAGAGGATGCCTGGGATTATGTGACCATAAGAATGCCACCTTAAGGCATCTAGATATGTATGACAAGTGGTATCACCAAAAATTCAGAAGTAGGAAGGTCACTTCTATGACTAAGATAGTTGGCCCAGTCTCTTAAGGATGTGGTATACAAGTGGCTGACCCTGGAAAGAAGAATGATGGAGAAGATAATGGACCCACTTCTACTGGAGCAATTTTTATGGGACCCAAAAGGGAAGCTCAGAACTGGGTCCAAAAGTATGTCCCAGCCACATTGGAGGAAGCAGTAAAGTTAGCTGAAGCCTTCTCTGCAGCCAAAGCAACATCTCAAAGAGTAAGGAGGTTGAGGTAAGTGTGGCAAGACAGTGGCTTCCTAAGGAGGTAAGAAGGGACTACCCCAGTTGGACAACAAGCTAATAAAAAATAACCCCAAAAATGCTACAGACGTGGAAGGCCACACCACTTTACAAAATCCTGACCAGAGCTAGAGAAAGGATGCTAAGCTGTGTCAGAAGACAGGACTTGGAGAGCCTAGAGCTGAAGGCTCCAAAAAAATTGAGCACATAGACTATAGGTATGGACATGAAGTAAGGGAAGAGCCAAATACTGCTCATCCAGCTACAGCAGTCCAGGTGGCTGGGCAAAAGGTCACAGCTGCTGTAGATTCTAGGTGAGCAGACTATGGTGAAAGATGAGCTGGTGCCCCAGGAAGTGAGAAAGTTAGTGCCCTTATTACACTGCAAAGGGAGAGCTGCTGCTATGATCAGATACAGGCCATGATGTGTGTGCCTGGGGAGGGGGGGGCACCCACATAATTCCCATCTTCTTGTTGTCCAACTTTCCATATCTAGTGATACTAGGGTGGGACTTGCCTTGGTTTCAAGAGGTGTTGGGGTCCATATAAGACAAGAACCTTTGCCAGTATCAAGAGCAGGAGGCACAGACAGAACCAGCTGAGGGACGGGTTGGCCAGAGAACCAGGTGGACCAGTACCAGAAGGTCCCTTGAACACCAGCGTCATGGTTAACCATCAACAGTTTGCAGCTGAACAAACTTGAAAAGGAGGCATTCCAGAATGTTTTCCAGGAATGATTGGCCCAATTTAATGAAGACATGCTGGATCCCAGGCTATTGAAGACAACACTTAGATTCAAGATAAGCAATGATTTGCTTTATCAAATTGAACGGGGAAGGGTGGACAGGAAGGAATTAGAACTGTTGGTTTCTAGACTACACAGGAAGGCCTTATTATAGGCAGCTTATTAACTGCCCATGAAGGGGCACCTAGGGAGGGGAAAAAAAACAGAAGCCAAGCTGATATGTAGATTCTGCTAGGAAGCAAAGGACTCCTTGTGGGTCATGCCCATCTTGCCATTCATGGAAAGTAAGGGCTAGAAGAGAATGAAAGATCTTTGGAGTCCAGGCCCCCTGCTCTGGCCAGGAATACTGCTGAGATCATCCCAGCAAGGTGTCTGTCCAGTCTCCTCCTGAAGACTTCCAAGGTTGGGGGCTGCACCACCTCCTTGAGAAGTCTGTTCCAGATTCTGGTCACCCTTACTGTAAAGAAGTTTCTCCCTGCATCCAATCTGAAGCCATCCTCTAACAGGTTATGGCCATTGTTCCTTATCCTCCCCTGGGGTGCCCTAGTGAACAGCTTCTCTCAGCTCCTAATATTTACCTCTTACATACTTATAGAAGGCAACCAAGCCCCACCCCACCCCCCTCTTCTTCTCCAGGCTCCAATCCCAGATCCCTTAGTCTTTCCTCATAAGGTTTGTTCTCCAGGCCCTTAAATCTTTCCTGTGGCCCTCCTCTGGACCCTTTTGAGATTCTCCATCTCTTTTTTGAAGTGCAGCACCCAGAACTGGATGCAGTATTCCAGCTGGGTTTCACCAGCACCTAGTAGAGAGGAAGTGTCACTTAGCCCTGCTTGCAATGCATCATTTAATGCATCCTAGTATGCTATTAGCTCTGTTGATTACAGCATCACACTGGCTTATGTTCATCTTGTAACCAACCATAACCCTGAGCCATTGTGCTGGTCAGGACATCTCCTCCTAAACTATATTCATGTCACTGGTTACTTCTCCCCAGATGAAACCCTGAATTTATCCTTATTGAACTGCACCGTTATTCTGACAATATCATATTCCATATTTGCTAGGAGAAGTGCTAGTTCTTCCTGCTTATTCCCCATACTCCTAGCATTTGTGTATAGACGCTTAAGTCCCCCATTGGTAACCTCCAGTTTCCTGCCACCCTGATATCATTCCAGCCTCTCAACACCTCCAGCTGCCTTCTACATCCTTCCTGCTTGGCTGTCTCCTGGCTTGCATTGCCATCTGCACACCCATCCCCTGACATACCTCATTTAAAGCCTGTTCCAGGAAGCCAGCCATCCTGGAAGAAAACAGTTTCTTCCCCCTTGACAGGAGGTGGATGCTGTCTCTTCCCAACAAGCCTATATCCCAGAATGGTGATCCAAGATCATAAAATCCAAAACCCTAGCAGTGGCACCATCTCCTGAGCCTCCAGTTCACCTCCTCAATACAGCTGTCCTTCCAAGGGCCCTGTCCCCTGACTAGGAGAACAGAAGAGAAAGCCACCTGTGCCTCCAGCCCCCAGAGCCCTGTAGTCAGTCAATCATGACCCACTCAGGGTTATCCCTAGCCATGTCATTCAGGCTCACATAGATGAATAGCATGGCGTAGTGGTTGGAGGGCTGGATGAGTTTTGTAATCCTCTGTCACATCCTGAATACCGGCCCCTGGAAGACAGCAGTCCTCCCAGGTGAAGTGATCCAGCCAGCAGATGGCACCCTCTGTCCACCTCAAGTGCCCACTACCACCACCTTATGTCTCCTCTACTGGAAAGGAGCTTGCCTCCTTTCCTCCACTGGGAGCTGTGCTAGACATCCCCTGCAGCCCAGGACCTGGGCCAAAGCCTCCACCACTGAAAGCTGTCTGAGTAGAAGCCTCAGAGGAACAGGGCATGGTAGTAGCGGAAAGTTTTACTGCATGACATCCCCACCATATCCAAGCCCTTCCTTGCACGCCTCTTCCCTCTAAGGAAGCTTAAAACCCCACTTCAAAGAGTAGGGTGGCAAAGTGTCCTGTTTGCTCACTCACTGGTTACCTGGAGAGCCGGCTTTTAGGCTACTCTCCTGGGCTGAACTGACTACCTGGCTAGGTCAGCTAATTAGGACTTGAATCCCCCCCCACCCAGCACCAATCACTGGCAATCAGCCAGCAATGAGGCCTCTCAGAGCACACGGTGCCCCGCTCCAATTGCAGAGCCTAAGCCAGGAGCTGCCTGCTGCCGGGGGGGTGGGGGGGGCACATTGTCCCAGCCAGGTTCTGAGTTCAGAGCCTGCCCAAGCAGCAGATTGCTCCCAGGAGCATTTCTCATACCCTGCTGCCCAGCAGCAAATTTGCTCCCAGTTGGTTGGTTGTCTACATGCACATTACTGCACAGTAACTACTCTCCAGTTAATTTGCCATCTGCATTCACAGGTAGCAAGTTAACTATGGAATAGACCATTTACTGCACAGTATGCATCTGCATGTGTAAATGCTGACACTTACTTTACAGTAAGCTGGTCTACCATGCAGTGAAGCATCTCATGTAGACACACCCAGAGAGGGCTTCTGGATAGCTCCCTACCCAGATGAACTGCAACTAGAACCAGCCAGAGAAGGTTTGGTGACACAGATGATGGGGCTCAGAGCACAGTTGACTCCACATCAGTAAGGGCAAGCAGCCCAGACTGAACACCTCTCCAGATTCTCATACAAAGAGGAACCAGAAGAAGCCCAGGGAATGCTGCACTGGATCAAAACCCTTTCCAGGTAAGTGGTTTGAAAGCATTGGAGACAAATCCCACAATGGCTACATGACTATCAGAACAGAGATTAACAATGTGCTGAAGAAGGGGATCATCACTGAAATCCCATAGCCAGGGGAGAAGCCCCATAGTGGCTACCCTAAAACCAGACGGGAGTATCTGGCTGTGCATGAACTTGCAGAGAGTCAATGAGCTGGTGAAATCTGATACCTATCCCATGCCATGGGCAGACAAAATGCTAGAAGAGAATTGGACAGGCCTGGTACATATCAATGCTAGATACATCACCAAAGGATTTTGGCAAAATTCCCTTAGACAAGGACGATCAAGAAAACACCATGTTTGCTGCACCCTGGAGCTTGTATGCATTTTTAAAAAAAAAGTGCTGTCTGGGCTTCATGGAGCTGCAAACACTTTTCAAAGGCTTATGAACAAAATGGTGGTACCCCACCTGGGTTTCAGCGATGTTAGGGTCGGAAGGGACCCATCAGATCATTGAGTCCAACACCCTGCCCTGGGCAAGAATGAGTGCTGGGGTCCCAGCCAGGCGTGTGTCTCGTCTCCTTTTAAACCCCTCCAAAGAAGGGCACAGCACCACGTCCCTTGGAAACATATTCCAGATTTTGGCAACCATCACAGTAAAACATTTTTCCTGATGTCCAATCTGATTTTGCTCTCTTCCAGTTTGGCCATTATTTGTAGTAACCCTGGGTTCAGCAACTTAGATTAATGTGATAATTTTTACTGTGAACTGTAAGGAACACCTCAAAGCCCTTAAAGATGTCCTCCAGAAACAGAAAGCAGCAAGAATTATGGCAAACACAAGAAGTATGTGGTTTGGAAAGAGGAAGCTGAGTACTTGTGTGGCCAGATTGCCCACCCCTGCTGTAGGGTGCAGCCAAAATACAGCCTGCAGGCCAGATCTGGCCCATGAAGCCCCTGAAAAAATTAAGAAAATGAATATTAATCTGTCTTTGGCTCCTATCAAAAATGGGGAAGCCCGGCAAGCTCCTGCAACAGCAGGGCCTGCCTGGCCCGCTCCCTCAGCTGGAAGCCCCAGCAGGGGCTTCTGGCCTGGGACCATGCAGCTGCCCCGGCAACTTAGGTGGGGGAGGACCCCGGGGAAAAGCTGAGCATGGGGAAAAGCGGCCCCTCCCCCGCCCCGTGGCCGGCGCTCCCTGCTGCAGGCACTCGCACCCTACACAGGGCTGTCCTAGTTATTAAAACAAGGGAGGCTTTGTGCAACTTGCCTGTTATCTAAGGGTGTTTGTTGTTGCCATGTTGGTCTAGGGACATAGGTAGACAAGGTTAGTTGGGCAACTCTGATATCTTTTATTAGACCAAAACTAAAACTGTTGGCCTAATAAAAGATATCAGATTTATCCCAGGAACCTAGTTAGCCTGTTATCTATACTCCCAATTTTGAACAGCCTTTTGTTGTTCAGATGGATGCTTCTGAAAGAGCCACTGGAGCAGTCCTCACCCAGGAAAGGAGAAAAATTCCCCATTGCTTATATAAGTTGCAGCCACACAAACAAGTATATTACACAATTGAAAAAGAATGCATAACCAATACATTATCATCTGCTTGGCTGACAGTTTATAATAGTAACACATCACACCCCGCTGCAATGGCTGAACTGCATAAAATCTGACAATGCCTGGCTCATGAGGTGGTACCTTAATTTACAGCCATATTATTGTACAATTAAGCACCATGCAGGGAAGAAATTTTAGATGTAGATTTTTCCCTCCCCCCAGAAGCTTTGAAGGGGGAGATGGCACCAATCAGATCTCCCTTGAAGGAAGGAAAAAAAAGGGGGCGGGGGGGTGACAAGGCGTTAACCCCCTGTTGCTGAGATGGGCAGAAAAGCCTGGTGGCATGGTGCCTTTAAGGCTCAGCCCTGTTGAGCTAGCAGTAGCCAGAAGCCTGAAAGGGAGCTTGAGCAGAAAGAGAGAGCAGGGCTGGAAGTTCACTACTAATATGGAAGCTGCAGAAGCAATGGGAGAGTCTTCTACCAGGTGGCATGGTGTGGGGCAGGCAAATTGGGAAAAGGGGAGGTTTGAGTGGGCTGAAGGCAACAGGACCTCCCCTTGTCACAGGCTTGACCCTTCTTTCATTTCAGCTCAGCCTCTTGCTAGTTTCAGTCACTACTGTCAGCAAAGCACTGGAACTGTAAGTGGTATTTAATTGCTATGGACAAAGCCAATAGGCAGGAGCACAAAATACTGTGGGTTTTGTGATGCTCACAGTAATAGTGGCCACTTTCCCTTTTCTTACCTTGCATATAGAGATGCAATTTTAAAATACATTTGTGCATGCGAGTCTCCCAGGTAGACATCGGCAATTCAGTAGAATCCAAGATGTTTGGCAGGGAAGTGTGAAGTCTCTCAAAATCAGAAACACAGCCAGCAGGCTGGTTTTATGTCAGTAGACAAGCTGTTTGGGTGCACCTTTGCCACAGCCTACCTGCGCAGCTGCCACAGATCACCAGTTCTGCAGGCCACAGCATCCTTCTGGCTGCAGTGAGTCCACTAGCTAGAAAATCTACTTCAAAATCTGTTCAGCAGAAAATTTTACAACTCTGACTTTTCACTGGAGGTCAGAACTATGGGCTTGTTTGAAAACATGGAGTTTTCCATGGGATGGTAATTCTGGACCAGCTCAGTTCTTCTCTAGATTATTGTTTCTTAACCACTGGGATGCAAAGGTAGCATAGGTGGGACTTATCTGAAAATAGAATTATATACATATTTTTTACAATTATAGTAATAAAACTTATTCACAACAAAATTATTGCAATTTTTAATTTGTTTTGTTTTATCATGGTGGGACCAGGGTTTTTTGACAAAATGGTTGTTGGGAAGTAAGGTGCAAAAGGTTGAGAACCTCTGCTCTAGAGGACTCAAGCCCTCAGATTCCCATATATTTAAGATTCAAATGTTTCTATCTTGCAAAGCTCTTTTTTCACCCTCAGATTTCAGAGGGCAACAGCAGAGTAGTTTTAAGGCAGCTTGCTCTGGCTCCAGAGGTACAGATTTGAGTCCTGTTCTTGACTTGTGCTAAAAACTGCCTCCAGCTGACCCAGCCATGAGTGGGCACCTGGTTATTCAAGCTGGGGAGTCAAAGACAGCTGGATGCAATGCAGACAGCATCATTCCTTTGCATGCCATTAGCTACAGAAACAAGCCTGCATTAATGGTGGTCAAGCCAAATGGAGTATTGGGTTACAGGACCTTTGGCTAATGCATTTTATTTCCTTCCGCTAAGCCACACACTTATGGAAAAGGATATGCTTAAGAGAACCAGTTTCCTCTAGATCTGCCTGGCACAGGCCTGTGAAATGAAAACACCCCCTGCACCCAGCATGCAGCAATATGTCTCACAAAGCAGAGTCCTACCCTTCCACTACCATTCACTTGGTATATTTGCCTTGAAGCTGTACAAAAGTGGATTCAATGGCTGAGACACAATCCAACAGGGTAGGGACTCTCTTCTGCACAACAGCCATGCCCCCTGTGGCTGCACCATGACTGTAACTACAGATAAGTCTTTAAGATGTTTGTTTCTTAAAACATTTACCTGGCTCAGCGGGGAACTGTAGGATGTTATTTGCCAGCTTCAGTTCACAGAGACATGAAACATTAAGAGTGGTGTAGCTTGCATCACCTTTGTACACCAATGTAAGATACAATGATGTCTGAAGCAGACAAAAAGATGCTCCTGCTATTACTATATCACTATGCCACTAGGCACTCAACCACCCCAATAAAATGGACCAGAGTTAGAGACACATACCCATACACCAGTAAAAATTTATACTAGTCAGTTCTGACTTTCCAAGGTGCATCTTTATCTCAGAGTAGAGTGGCTTTCTCCAATGTAAAGCTGTACACCATTTATCCACATTTCCATTAGCCTGGAGTCAGATTGCAGTAGTGTAAACAGGCTGCATCTCCACACCCTTTTTCTGCTTTGGCTGCACTGCAAGTGCTAGCTCCTTTAAACATGCAGTGAAGATACAGCGGGGTCTGCAAGCCTCCAGGGATTCTAGCCACCCAAGTTAGTACCTAGAACTCATTCAGTCCATACTGCTGTAGCTTCACTGCTATTGGAATCTGCACTAGCTAGATTAAAGCTAACTCAGGTGAGGGACTACACCTGTTGAAATCATACCGCCAAACACTGTGATGGTGCATGAGGTCTGGGAGCCGCTTGCCAGTAGTCCATGTTAGCTGTATTGCTCCCAGGTAGCATGGAGTAGCAAATAAGTTAAAAGGTCACCACCGAAAACCAAGAGCTGAAAACGTGACACTACTGCACTGGACATAATCCAGCTGGCATTTGAAGCCCTGGGTTCTACACCTGGTCCTGCCATGAACAAGTCACAGTTTCTTTCTGAATCAGGACAATAAAACTATGCCTGCCCCCATGCACTCTCTTCAGCTGCTGCTAAAAGTGATTTAACTCCTAGCCTGGGCAGGACAAAACTCATATCAGAGAAAGCTATTTAGATGTAGTAGAATGGGCGTTGTATGCTTTTACCGCTGAAGTTGCTCTCTATGAAACGGGAGTCATAGGTACCTTCCAGTAACCAAGTGTAATTGTCCAAAATCCCTTGGATTTTGTCCTTTAAAGGAAACCTTCTGTTTTCCACCCTGACATGTTCATTGGGGGCTAGGTTGTATGGTACACACTCAGTCCTCCATACAGTCAGATCAATCACCATATTTAGGGGCAGGAAGGAATTTTACCTCATGGTCTCATTAGTCCAGACGGTGAGAGTGATTGCCTTTCTTTGTAGCAGGAGGTATGACCCTCTACCCAGGATCCTTTGAGCATATATTGATAACACTTCATAGAAACAGGGCATTGGCTGCCATAATTCCCCTGCTTCACCAGTGGCAGGTTGGGGTGGTAGGTCCATGTTATGTCAGGGTTGATGGTAGTCTTATGTAGAGTTTAGATTGATCCTGCTTCAGGCGGGGGTCGGCTTGATGATCTCTGGAAGTCCCTTCTAGTCCTACTTGTCTACGAAGAAGTGAAATTAATGATGATTGTACTAGGTGGCCCTAGTGTTTCCCAATTCTTGTTGTTTCCCCAGCAGTAGTCTGTAACCAAAATGATCATTACATCCTACTGGAAAACTGACGGTATTTTTTAGAAATGGTACCATTTCACTGAGATTTCCCTTGATTAGTCTCCTGGAATTTCACTGTCATGGTCATCCTCATATCAAGGAACTGCCAGTCTTCCAACACATAGTCATTGGTGAATCCATAGATGACTGAGGAGGCCAACTGAAGATCTGAATTTTCAACTGCAGACATGGTAAATATATCTGGGAGGAAGGAGCAGATCCTGGCAATATGTCTCTCTCTGTCCTCT